TGGTGTCTCCGTAAGTCATGTAAATGATTACAAGAAGAACTCACGGCTTCTCCTGGAGGGGAAAGCCCTGTGTGGCGCAGGGCCAGGCTCTGGCCACCGGTGACCTTTGGTTGGGTCTGCTGGCTCCAGTATGGACCGTGTGAGCAGGACAGGAAACAGGCTGGAAGCACATTCCAGCCTCCAGGTGGTGGAAATGACTAAGCCAGTGAGATGGAGCCAAGGAGATTGGGTCAAATGTCTTCACAGCCTCTCTGGTCTCCAGAAATCTCGCTTCCCGCAGCAGCTGCCCAGAGCACTGAGCCAAGTCTTAAAAGCATTTTGCTCAGAGGGAATTCTCGAAATGTCTGCCCCTAAGGGCTGCTGGGGGGAAGCTGTGTATTTCCACTTGCTAGAGGTCCTTCGTAGGGCCTGTGAAGTGACCATCACAGCCCCCCGGGCCCCCCAAGGTGCTGGCCTCTCAGAATATTGAGGCCCAACTTGATCATTGAAGCAATACTAATAATATGAACCGCTTCAGGGTGAAGGGAAAACTCTTCACTCAGAGACAAACTACAAATGTTTTGGACCCTCTTCTTTTCCCCGCTTCTAGAAATTTAAGAATTACATGGAAAACTTAACAAAAGTCCCATATTTTTCTAAAAGTATTTTTTTTAAAACCCAAAAGTATAACAAAGTATAACTGCTTATAGACATGAGATTCATGACACTAGACATATCTATTAATTTCTAAAAATCTCACATCATCCCAGAACCTCCCGGGCTTGGTAGAGGAAGATGTTCAAAGACTCCCAGCGTTGATGCAGGGATGAGGCACTGCACCCAAGACTGGGTGACTCAGCAGAGATCATCCAACAAACAATTCTCATCTCCACCTCAAGCATTTTAGAAATGTTTTAAAATGAAAAATAGAGCCGTGGATCTTGACTCTGGCCTCAAACCCAGCTACTGTAAAGCATTATGAAGAAGAATTTAGAAACCTGGCTTCCTCCTTCCCGCCCAGAGGCCTGCCCTGCTAGCAAAGCAAGCCCCGGTCCAAGGTGTCTGGTGGACCCAGCAGGTTGCTGGAAAGCGGGCTTAGCTTCACCTAAACAGCTGGGAGCTGGGAGCTCAAGGTGAGCATGCAGGAGGAGCCACAGCCACAGCGGTTTCCTTTATGAGCAGCTAAAAATAGCAAACAACCACTGCAGAGTGACAGACACCCATTTGAAGGTTTTGGTGGGGACAGAAGCCCTACCTGGGCAGAGCTGCTGTCTCACTCCTCGGGTCGAAGGGAGATGGGGTGGAGAGAGCGGTGCCGGGAGCAGGAAATGTCACTGCGGGGGTGAAGAATACTGTGCTCTCGGAGAACCCAGCCCTCCAGTGTCTTCTGCGGTGGGAGAAGGGGACTGGGAGCTGGTGGATGTGTGGGGCTGGAAGCTTACGTAAAGGGAGCCTGCTCTTTTTCATAGATTTATAAGATGTTTCTCTTCCAATTTCATGTTTTAGCCAACTGCATTGTCCTGCAAGCCTGCATCATTCCTTATTTTCCCTCAATTTGCTTCTACACATAAGTAATCCAATATCTATATGCTGACATTCTCTTTGAAAACACTTAAGGGGGCCGGGCACAGTGGCTCACACCTGTAATCCCAGCACTTTGGGAGGCTGAGGTGGGCAGATCACCTGAGGTCAGAAGTTCAAGACCAGCCTAGCCAATATGGTGAAACCCTGTCTTTACTAAAAATACAAAAATTAGCTGGCATGGTGGCAGGCGCCTGTAGTCCCAGCTACTTGGGAGGCTGAGGCAGGAGAATTGCTTGAACCCAGGAGGTAGAGGCTGCAGTGAGCTGAGATCTTGCCACTGCACTCCAGCCTGGGTGATGGAGCGAGACTCTGTCTCAAAACCAAACCAAACCAAACAAAACCAAACAAAACAAAAAGGAAATTAGCCGGGCGTGGTGGCACACTCTTGTAATCCCAGTTACTTGGGAGGCTGAGGCAAGAGAATCACTTGAACCTGGAAGGCGGAGTTTGCAGTGGGCCGAGATTGCGCCACTGCACTCCAGCCTAGGTGACAGAGTGAGACTCTGCCTCAGAAAGAAAGAAGGAGAGAAAGAAAGAAAGAAAAGAAAAGAAAAAAGAGAAGAAAAGACAAGAAAAAGAAAACACTTATGGAAGTGTGACAAATTCCAAAGTAGGGGTGGTGGTTAGTTTACAGTTTGTTAGAAGTCTCTAAATAAGCCAAGTGGGATGGGCCAGCACACCTGAGACCTGAAGGAATGAAACGGGTTCCACCGGTCACACAGGACGGGCTCTTGTCACTGCCCACATGGCTGCAGGCAGCCTGTGTGCACACATGGCATGGGGGACACTGGGCCCTCGGTTTTGTCACCTCGGTTATTCTGGCAAGGGGACAAGCAGGACTCTAATTATCTGACTGCATAGGTCTAGCTACAGGTCAGGAAATAATTAGACTTTCCTGCCAAATAAGAAGGGATTTCTTTTGTTTCTGCCTAAAGTAACACAAAATAGAAGAAAAGAAGAGCAGTTCCCCCCACCCTTAAGAGGCTGCAGCAGACTGGAGCGCTCGTGTGTAACAGATGGGTCACTTGCAGGAAGTTGATAGTCTCATTCTTTTTTTTTTTTTTTTTGAGACAGCGTGTCTCTCTGTCTCCCAGGCTGGAGTGCAGTGGCGCGATCTCGGCTCACGGCAAGCTCCACCTCCCGGGTTCAAGCCGTTCTCCTGCCTCAGTCTCCCGAGTAGCTGGGACTACAGGCACCCGCCACCACACCCGGCTGTTTTGTGTGTGTGTGTTTTTAGTAGACGAGGTTTCACCATGTTAGCCAGGATAGATAGTCTCATTCTTATTTCCACTTTCTGATAACAGACCTGGCTCGCAAGGGCCCATCCCCAGCTCACCTGGGCAATCCCCGTCTAATTTCACCTCCCTGCCAGCTTCCTATCCTGTTCCCCACAAAGGCTCCCTGTCCAGCTGCTGTGCGATTCTTTCCTCTTTCCTGAAGAAAATCCGGGCCCACGGATTCAGGGCCAGAATCCCCTCTGATGTACCAACTACTGGCCCCGAAGCAGACTCCTGGCTAGGGGAGAGATCAAATGCTCAGTCTATCTAATTCCTTTCAAGGTCAAGTCCCCTTAATACAGGTGCAGAAAATGACAGGTGAATCACTTTCTCATGGTTTAGGCCTGTGTTAGGCCCTGGAGAATCTCAGGCTAGTATGTTTCTATGGCACTCCCTAAGGACCGTGTCTACTCTGCAAGAGGAGGGCACAGGGGCACGTCCCACACACCACACCACACACACACACACACAACACCACATGCACTGCACTTACACAATACATATGCACACGCCACACTGACACACCACCACAGGCACCACCCTTACACATCACACATACACACACTCAACATCCATGCACCACACATACACCACCCTGTGCACCACACACAACCACACCACATGCACCGCACTTACACAATACATATACACATAGCACACCACACCCATGCACCACACACACATGTGCCACACTGACACACCACATATACCACACATCACACGTACACACACACTACACCCATGCACCACCCATACACACTCACACCACCCTGTGCACCAAACACACACCACATGCACCACTGACACCCCACACACACACCACATACACCACACACATCACACACACCACACACATGCATTACACTGACACACCACACCACACACCATATGCACCACACTGACACACCACACACACACCCCACACACACACACCACATGCACTGCACTTACACTTCACACATACACACACCCATGCACCACCCATTCACACTCACACCACTCTGTGCACCCCACACACACCACATGCACCACACACACCACATGCACCACACACACCACATGCATCGCACACACCACATGCACCACACACACCACATGCACCGCACACACCACATGCACCACACATAACACATGCACCACACACACATAACACATGCACCACACACACATAACACATGCACCATGCTTACACATCACACATACACACACACCACACCCATGCACCACACATACACACTCACACCACCCTGTGCACCACACACACCACACTCACAACACATCACACCACAGGTACCACACTCACATCACACCACATGCACCGCACACGTCACACCACATGCACCCCCGGCCCCCATACACACTGAATGAATAACACAGCCACACAGAGGGCAGGGCCTGGGCCCGGTACTGAGTCCCTCCTTGCCTCTGAGCAGCACACCCCCTAAGGCAGGCCCAGCCCACGGCTCCAGGGGCTGTCACGGATTTCCAGGGACTTTCCGAGGAGGGAGCCTGGAGCCTGTCTTGCTGGCGAGCAAATGGCAGTCCTCGAGATCACCCTGACTGCGCGCTGTGCACATGCACACACACGTGTGCACACACATGCACTTGTGCAAGCGCGCACACGAGCCAAGCCAGGCAGCTGCACAGCAGCCGCCAGGGTCGGGCTGATGAATCCGGAGGCCCAGGTCACCTCGCGGCCCGCGGGCAGGCGCCTGAGGGGCTGGCGGCGCGCGCACGTGGCGGGGCCCGGGCGGCTGGGCCTTTAAGGGGGCGGGGGCGGGCCGCGTTGGTAGCAGGGGGGAGAACGGCGGCCCCCGCAGGCCCAGCCGCGCCCCCTCCCTCGGGCACCGCCCCCGCCCCGCCCCGCCCCGGGGCCTGAGCCTCCTCCGGCCACTGCTGGGCCGCGGGCGGGACGCCCGGGGCGGCGCGCGCAGGAGGAAGCGCGCCCGGCCGCGGCCCAGGAACTTCCCTGACGCCGAGTCGGGAGCGCCGGCCGTGGGGTCCGCTCGCGCCCCTGTTCCGCAGGTGTGCGGGGCTTTCGCCCAGCCCCGGCCGCGGCCGCCGCGCATTTCCTCCCCGCTCGCCCCGCCCGGAGGCCCCGGGCCGCGCTCCTCGCCGGGCTCCGACCCCGCCGCGCCCCCTCCACGCCCCCCGCGCGCCGCGGCCGCCGCCAGCGCGCGTCCTGAGTCCGCCGCTCCGGCCAGGGGCTGCCGGGGAAGTTGGGGCGAGGCGGGCCGGGGATGCGCCATGGCCATGGCCCGGCTGGGCTCGTGGCTTGGGGAGGCGCAGTGGCTCGCGCTGGTGTCGCTCTTCGTCGCGGCGCTGGCCACGGTAGGCCTGTACCTGGCGCAGTGGGCGCTGGCTAGGGCGCGACCCCAGCCCCAGCGGCGGGCGGTGGAGCAAGGAGAGGGGCAGGGCCCGGGGTCCGACGCGCTGCTCTCCTGGATCCTGACGTTGGGCAGCTGGAGGAGCCAGTGGCAGGCGGCCTGGGTGACCGCCCTGAACGAGGAGGCCGAGAGGAAAGGGGTGAGTTTCCGGGACTGCGGGCCGGGGGGCGGCCGATGCCAGGACGGTCTCTCCGGGCCGAGCTCTTTCCTGGAGGCGTCGCCGCAGCCCCTGACCCAGGCGAAGTGTTGAGTCCTCCCCCCAGCGCAGAGCATCCTCGAGAGTTAGGAGAGAGACGGGGGAGCGAGGACCCTTGACTGGGAGACAAGACAAAGTGATTGATTTTATTCTCCAAACGGCAGGTGCGCCAGGCCCTGGGCTCCGCGAGGGACAGGCTGGCGGTTGGAGGGACTGTCAGTAGCGCTCATCGGCGCCAGTCGGTACCTCCCCTGCCTGGAGTCCCGGCGCGAATTCCCGTGCCCGATCGGACACTCACTGAGCTTGCACATGATACACGAATAGCTGTGACCCCAATGTGCTTCCACCTCTCATAGAGCTGAATTTCACCAAGAATTTATCTCCAAAGACTTGCATTCCTTGGCATATAAAAACAGCGACCGTTTGCTGAGGGCCAGCCGCTGGGCAGACATCCTACCGAGGCTTTCGGTGCGTCTGCCATCTCGGAATCCTCACAACTCCCCGGACATAGGTGTTATCACTGTTTTACAGATGAGGAAACCGAGGCCCAGAGATGGCAGGCAGCCTGCCCAATGCCACACGGCTCGTGGGCGGCAGAGCTGGCATGTGAGCCCAGCTGCCCTGGCCTGCCAACTAAGGGCCTCGTGTCTTACCTCTGCTGCCTCACAGTCCTGTGGGCGTTTCTGTAGTCGCTGATTGTTCCTTGACTTATTTTTGCTTTTAAGACATCTTAGTTTAATGACAAGTTCCTGGTATGTACTGTTCTTAGGCATTTCACAGGAGTTGGAGCCTGGGTGAGTTTGGGGAGGCACCCCTAGTCTTGGCCGCTGCTCCGCCCTTCCAGGCCACAGTTTCCTGCACCTACATGTAAAGCTCAGTGGTCATTCGCTGTGGAAATAGCAGAATTGCTAATTTTGAATGTCCGGCCCCATCAACCTTCAAAATATTCCATGGCAGGCCCTGTGCCTGGTCCTTGCGCCATGGCCTTGGAAGACATGGCCATGGAATTAAAAAACAAAAAAGCTTTGACTATCAGCAGACATCCAGCAAATCAAGAGACCTTGTTCTGAACTCTTGAAAAAGAACATAAATGACTGTACTTTTTGGAGGAAAAAAGGCTTCAGGGTCAGTCGACTGACTTTTGTCCTGGTGCCCAGAATCTGTGCCTCAGCTGTCCAGAGCTGAAGAGTTTCTCAGGGAAACCAGTGGTCTCTTGTGGGAGCCCTCCACTCCTGTTGGCCTCACATCCAGGAGCAAATGCAGGTATTTCCCCAGGAAGCTGCCGTCACTGACCCCTGATTGACCTGGTATCAAGGCTTCTGAGGCTGAGTCCCCTCCAGGCTGGTGGCGCGATTGGGCACCAGTCTCATCCATGCCCTTTGTAGGAGGCAGGCGAGTGTCGGGTGAATGACCTGTGAGTTCCGCTTCTAACTCTGGAGTTTCAGGCCCAGAGGCAGTGACCCTACCTTCTGTATATTTGGGATGGTTTGTTTCCTGACATGTATGGATTGGCTTCAGAAAATATGATCCCCTTGGATATGATCCTTCCATATTCCCATCTGCCTGAAGTGTTGAGAGGCAGAGAAGAGGACGTCCCTGCCCTGGCGTCTGTCTTGGGCTGGTCAAGTCAATCTGAGAACACTGAAGGAAATATTTGAAAGTTTTGGATAAAAACTTTTTACCTGAGTCTTCGTGTGGGATCAGGGAGGGTTTGCATTCAGGGAGAGAGAGGGTCTCAGCTTGTCTGCACCTTCTCTGTTCTCTCTCTGCTGTTGGCCACACACTGCAGTCTCAGACCCCTGTCTCTCCTGACTTCCTGCCTGGAAGAGGCAACAGCGTCCTGGATTCATGCTCAAAGCAACCCAGGACCATCTCTGCCATATTTGCATGGACATAGTCCATTAGTTCTGTGATGACAGTCTTTGGTATTGCTTACTTTCCTGGGGACTGGGGTGGGGGAACACAGTCCTGATGCCTGGGAATGTCATTTCATTTCCATTCGAATGGAACGTTTTGCTGGCAGATAGGATCTGGGTGACTGGGCTCCCTATGAGTGATGGTCACACACCCCGCATCCTGAGCCATCGCTGCTGTGTCAGTGATGGCATTGTGGGTGAGCAGGTGGTGGTGTTTGCATTCCTGGCCGCCCTGAGTCTGGTGATTGTCACACACATCCGAGCATCCTGGGCCGTCGCTGTTGTGACAGTGATGACCGTGTGGGAGAGCAGGGGCTGCTATGTCCATTTGTAGCTGCCCTGACTCTGGCAGAAGTTTCTCACTGCCCTCCCCCACCTCAATTCCCACTAATCCCGGATTAGGGCTGACACTCGGAGCCCACTCTGGCCCGGAGAGCCACAGCTTAGTGCTCCCCCTCCTGCCTCTGCCTTGTCCTGATGTCACTCTGTCCTACCCAGGGAGGAGACCAGTTCTTGGCCTGTCACTCAGGGATTGAGAAGACCTGGTAATAACTTAATCACATCCATCATTCTGTCTGAAAAGTGGAGTTTTTTATACAACAGAGACAATAACTCCTCCCATTCCAAGTTTTACCCCACCTTTATATTTTAAGATGGAAAGAAACCCTAAACTCTTCTAACCAAGCCCCTTCCTTCTCCAGAAGAGGAGACTGAGGCCCCTGAGCTGGAGGAATTTGCTGAGGTCTGCCCATCAGTGGCTGCAGCCTGTTCCCTTGTGGGAAGCAGTTTCAACTTGGAGACCTAAATGTGTCCTTTAAATGAGAGCCAGAGAGAACGGCTCAGAGAGTAGAGTTGTTAACGTGTTATCCCAAACAGTGGGGCTTGCACCTCCCAGGATCCAAGGACTGGGCAGCACCGGAGGAGTCCTCGTGCTCTCTGATGACCACTGCAGCAGCGCAGACTCCCCATATCGCAGGGGACCTCGGATTCCCACCCTCACTCCAGAAAGGGTTCTAAATTTTATGTGACAGTGTTTTGCACTGACCTCAGAGGAAACCATTGCTGATCTGCCAGCTGGCCAGGTGGACGCCAGGTATGCAGAGATCACAGGAGTCCCGCCCAGAGAGCTTAGCGATCCGCCTCAGTAGGCTTGGGGAGCACACTGTGAGGGTGTCCCATGGTTGAGAATCACTGGTGAGAAGCTGCTAGAACACACCTGCCATCCATCAGAGTTACTGTTTCTTTTTTTTTCCTTTTTTTTTTTATTGTTATACTTTAAGTTCTAGGGTACATGTGCGCAAGGTGCAGGTTTGTTACATAGGTATACATGTGCCATGTTGGTTTGCTTCACTCATCAACTCATCATTTACATTAGGTATTTGTCCGAATGCTGTTCCTCCCCCAGTCCCCCACCCCCCGACAGGCCCTGGTGTGTGATATTCCCCGCCCTGTGTCCATGTGTTCTCGTTGTTCAACTCCCACCTATGAGTGAGAACATGCAGTGTTTGGTTTTCTGTCCTTGTGATAGTTTGCTGAGAATGCTGGTTTCCAGCTACATCCATGTCCCTGCAAAGACATGAACTCATCCTTTTTTATGGCTGCATAGTATTCCATGGTATATATGTGCCACATTTTCTTAATCCAGTCTATTGTTGATAGGTATTTGGGTTGGTTCCAAGTCTTTGCTATTGTGAATAATGCTGCAATAAACATCCATGTGCATGTGTCTTTATAGTAGCATGATTTATAGTCCTTTGGGTATATACCCAGTAATGGGATTGCTGGGTCAAATGGTATTTCTAGTTCTAGATCCTTGAGGAATCGCCACACTGTCTTCCACAATGGTTGAACTAATTTACACTCCCACCAACAGGGTAAATAGAGTTCCTCTTTCACCCAGCACCACCTAAAAGCAGTTGTTTGAGCTTTGACTCTTGCCTCTCCACTTGGTGTGGTGTTACAGACACCTAATTCCCATTGATGTGATCACTCTTTGATCATAGAGAACAGAAGATCCCAGAACTGGCTCAGTCTCGGGTCAGGCTCCTTAGACTGAGAACTAATACTATGGTATCCAAAAGCACCAGTTGAGATTTTCCTTTTGCTCCCCTGTGATTACATCAGTATTTACAAAGTGGTTCATGATCATCAGTTATACCCTCAACACGCCCTTGGGAGTCTCCGGGACTGCTGTCCCACAGTCTCCTTGACTCTGGGATCCAGCGTGCTTGCTGCCGATGGCCCCTGCCCGTGCGTAGCGCTCCCCCCAAGGCTGATGCTGTCTGGACCACGTGTGGGCAGCACCCGTCCTGAAGTGAGGCCTGTGTTCTGTGGCCTGCGCTCTGGGCTTGTCTAGTAGCGGCCCACCTGAGTGGGTTGAGGCCCCGGACGAGGAGGATCCCCAATGCTGTCTGTTTCTTTAGTCCTTCAGCCCAGGGTTTCTTTAAAGGAATGTTCCAAATGCAAATGATCAAGACTATAGCTATCAAACAATTTGTGGTCTTTGTAAAAAAAAAAAAAAAAAAAAAGAAAGATGCTGTGTGGACTTGGAACATGTTATTAATAGCGCTGACTTGAATAGAAGTTTCTGCATTTACAAAGTAAACAAAGTGGCCACCAGACTTCAGAGTCTTTGCATTATATAATGACCTTCCAGTTGTGCTCACAAAGTCCAAACTCCTTGACCAGTGACAGTGACTGTGGTGTAGGAAGCCAGTTGGTAGAACTGTGGTAGCCACTGTGGGGAAGGGCCATGGAGCTGCCCTTCCCTCCTCCAGTAGAAGGAGCTTGGGCCTTTCTGGGGCTGTGAACCCTGCACCCTCCACCGTGACCCCTTCTGTTGTTCCAGTGTCCAGGGACCTTTCCTGTATGGGGCCTTCCCACAGGTCATTCCTTTTGTTTGGAATTCTTATCTTTTTTTCTGCTTATTTGACTTCTCTAAATCTTTTGGGTCTTGGCTCAGAGGTCCCTGATCCTCCCCTTCAGCCAGGATGCTCCCCACCCTCCCCTCCTCCGGACCCCCTGGAG